CCCAGACAAAGGGGAAAGGGCACTTTCCCGGACCCACCCCCAGCCATGAGACGAGCCCGCATTCCCGGACCCCCCCCAAAACATGAGACGGCCCCCACTTTCCCGTGCCCCCCCCACAACCCGAACGAGCATGCACTTTCCCGTGACCCACCAAGACATGAGACAACCGCACTCCCGTGACCCCACAGCCAGAGACAAGTCTGACACTTCCTGTGACCCCCCACAGCCATGAACAAACCGACACTTCCCGGACCCACCCAGACCTGGACGACCTGCCTTCCCGTGACCCACACAAGACCCCGAGCGGCCTGACATTTTTGTGACCCCCACAGACAGGAGACGAGCTGAATTCCTGGGACCCCCACAGACCATGAGCGAGCCTGACCTTCCTGGCCCACCAAGACCAAGAGACGAGCCTACACTTCCTGTGACCCCCCACGACCAAAAGGCGAGCCCGACACTTCCTGTGACCCACCACGCCATGAGACGGCCTGCCTTTGTGACCCACCAAGACTGAACGAGCCCGAACTTCCGTGACCCACCCCAGACCAAAAAACAGCCCCGACCTTCCGTGACCCCCACGACAAAAGACGAGCCTGACACTTCCTGTGCCCCCCACAGACCCGAGACAGCCGACATTCCGGTCCCACCACAGCCAAGAGGGCGAGCCTGACACTTCGGGCCCACCCCCGACCAAGAGCACTGACATTCGTGCCCACCCCACCCGAGCGACCTGACACTTCCCGTGCCCCCCACAGCCATGAACGAGCTGACCTTCTGTGACCCCCCACAGACCTAGGGGCGGCCGCACTTCCCGTACCCCCCCACGCAAAAGGGGCCGACACTTCCCGTGCCCAGCACAGACCAAGGACAGCCTGACCTTCCCGTGACCCACCACAGACCAAAGACGAGCCCGACACTTCCCGTGCCCCCCACAGACCCAAAAGCGACCCGACACTTCCTGGACCCACCCCGACAAAAACGAGCCTGCATTCCCGTGACCCCCCCACAGACCAAAAGGCGAGCCGCACTTCCTTGCCCCCACAGACCAAGAGAGAGCCTGACATTCCTGTGACCCCTCACCTGAAAAAAACCAGTCGATGTGAAAAAAGATTCAGTAACGAAAAAAAGGACAAAATAAGAATGCGCCTAAAAATGGAAATAAAATCGGAGTTAAAGAAAAGGGGGGAAATGAAAAAAACGGCGTTAAAGAAAACGGGGGGAAAAGAAAATACGGACGTTAAAGAAAAAGGGAAAATGAAAAAAAGACGAAAAAAAACGGGAAATGAAATACGGACGTTAAAGAAAAGGGGAAAAAAGAAAAATACAGCGTTTAAAGAAAAGGGGGGGAAATGAAATACGGACGTTTAAAAAAACGGGGGGGAAAAAGAAATACAGACGTTAAAGAAACGGGGAAATGAAAAAAACGGACGTTAAAGAAAACGGGGAAAAGAAAATACAGCGTTTTTGAAAGGGAAAGAAAATCAGCGTTGAAAAACGGGGAAAATGAAAATACAGACGTCCAAGAAAAGGGGAAAATAAAAAACGGGTTAAAGAAAAGGGGAAAATGAAAATACAGAGTCAAAGAAAAAAGGGGAAACCATAACCAAGTTCTACTGAAACTGAAGAAAGAAGGGAAAAAAAAAAAAATTTAAGAAAAACGAAACAATTAGGAAAAACGCCAGGAGGAAATGAGGAAAGGGATCGGAAAAAAATAAAACAGAAGGACAAAAATGCAACAAGAAGAGAGAGAAAAAATGCCCGGGGGAAAAAAAGAAAAAAAGGAAAATTTTAAGGGCTTGAATGAATACGACAGAAACGACGTCACAACCCATTATGAACCAAAAAGTAAAACATTTCTGGTTCATTCAAAATATAATTTAAAATTTTATAATATATATCTAATATATTATTTTTAAAAATTAATATATTTTATAAATGTGTGTGTGGTGTTTGTGGGTTGTGTGGGGTGTGTGTGTGTGTGTGTCGTGTAAAAAGGTAAAATTTGCGATTTGCTTAATGTTTAATCTGTTTGCTTTTTATTAAATGTTTTTTAAAATTATCTCAAAAATTTTGTTGGATTAGCCCAAATTTAAAATTTCCCCTTGTATAAAAAAGGTTAGGAAGTTTTTTTAAGGTTCTTTTGGTACAAAATTAAAATTTTTTTTATTTAAATTAAATGAAAAAAAAATATGTTCTTTAACGTATAAAAAAATTAAGAAGCCCCAATTTTTAAAAAAGTTCTTGTAAGCCGTTTTACCATTCCTGTGGTTACGGAAAATGGGTGCGGGGGGGGAGAAGAGCGATTGGTGGGAAAAGTGATGTAAGGGTATAAAGGGGGAAAAAATTGCATATTTAGAGGTTTTTTTCAAAGTGAGTGATTTCAAGGAGGGAAGGAATGGAGGGAAAAAGAGGAGGGAAAAAGTGTGGGAAGCAATGTAAAAAAAGGGGCAAAAGGGAGTGGGGGAGATGTTTA